TAAATCAAGAGAACAAATCCTAAAGATGAAAGAGGATCTTGAACTCATTGACCGTTGGAAAGAAAGAAATCCATTTGAAAAAAGATACACTTGGCGACAACCAAACCCTATCTAGTGGATGTTAAAGTGACTTTCAGAAATAGTAACATAGTAACCCTGAAAATAGTAACCCAGAAAAAGGAGAGTAAAACCTTGGAAACGACAAGAAACTAGGAGCTACTAATGCTGGGTGAGATGCCGAAGATTGAACCATAGCTGGCAGATCAACAGCCCCCGTTGACAAGTGCTGTGAACGTCACTGGGGTTATTGGAACAGCACTGACCTTGTAGATTGTTTCTTAACTTTGAGGATCAATTGGATCACTGTGTCTGTGCCACAGCAGCGACTCTCAAAGTTGACCGAGGCGGGCATTGGTGCCCTAGAAAGTATGTCTGGGCAGTGGGCAATCCTTGAAAAGTAACATAAGTACACTATCTTTTGCTCAGCGTAGGGCATTTAGCCACATACTGTTTTGTGGCAGGTTACTTCGCCCTAAGCCATCAATTCACTTCAGTTGCAGTTGATGGGCACAGCATCCTACAGTAACCAAATCAGTTGAAGATTGCTGCAGTTTGCTAACATTAGTGTTTGAAACATATGTTTTAAGTTCTACAATGGAAAGCACCTTACAATAACCAGCGACACAGAAATTCAGCTATGTTTACACGTGTTAGCGAGTGCCCACAATGCACTTGTTGGATAATCACAAACAGTCCTTTTTTTTTAACTCGAAGCTATCCATTTTAATGGTGTTCTACATATATCACCCCTGAACATAAGGGTGCAGGTCGAAAAGCCTGTTAGATATCTCTTTCAATAATTTTCAATTTCAGGTGTTGCTTTTTGCAGAATTAATTTTGCAGCAATAGAAACTAACAGTTTTAGCATGTTTAGTCCACTAGTCCTTATGATGATAACATATAGCAAAACCTTCAAAATGGCCAGTTTCTACTACAGTAGTCCTTATGGTACCTTTACTATTGTGCAGTTTGGCAAGGACTATAGGACTTGAGCCAATTTCTAACACTGTTTTGTTCTACCCCCTGAACTGTTATGACGTCGTAGCTCTAGGACACATCCTTGTGCTTTAACTGTAATAGTTCAAGGCAAAACTATACTTTATTACACTACCCAGATCGGTAAACTTTCTTCTTTAATCATGTTAATATTGTAGTGGTTTTAGTTATTAAAACAGACATATTTCCTATGTATAGGACATCACTTTTTGTTTTGGGCATCCAGTAAAAGCCTGTGGACATTTATTGATATGTTTTATGGTTTTTTTATAATTAGGGATGTATTTAGAGAAAACATATATCTATAACCTATTGCTGTCCATAAGAGCATTGTAAAATGAGTGGTTGAAACCTCTTGATACAAATATGACATCTTAGTAACTATAGAGGACTGTGAGCAGTGTTGTCTCTGATTGATCACTTGTTTTGTTTCCCTTTGAACATATGTTACAAACTTCAGGTTGGTTGATATCTGGCCAGTCTTGAGATATGCTGTAGTTGCCCCTTGCCTTCATTTCATCTAAGAACTAATATACCTCAAGGCCAGGGTAGACCTTCTTTTCAAAACAACATGGGCTATGAGCATGACAACACACCGAAGTCACCTGCCCTCTTGCGTGTTCGTCTGATGATAATTTGATGTTACCTAATCATTTTAATATCCGTATTGTCAAGTGGACATCGCCTCGTTGCTTCTGCCAGACGTGACTCATGTTAATTAATTCAGGTTCTTGGAATAGGCAGTTTACTGGCTGCTCCAAGGCTGTTTCAGAATCTATTAATCTACCAATTATTGATCCAGCACAGTCCAGCATCAACTGTTGACATATTATATTGGCATAGGTGTGGCTGCTGGCTGTGTGTTAGGCTCAGGGATGTACATGATGTGTTTTCAGACTTGTGGCTCTCAGTGATTATTTGATGCATGGAATAAAGAAGTTATTATTAAGGATTTTTATCAATGCATTGACGAATGGCAAATTAATGATGAAATTGAAATATATTATGAAAGTTATTGGAAATGTTAATATGATGGACAACTGGCCACATTATGTTACCATCACTTACATGTTTTAGACTTCTGACCTGATACAGTACAAAAGTAGGATTACAAGAGCAGAAAGGATGACTTTTTTATCTTCAAGGGAATATATAGTTATGAGCAAATCTTTGACCCAATATGATATGTTTTAGCCTTATTTCTTTACATAATCACCTAAGAAAATAAATTTGGGTAAAATATCATCCTGAAAACCAGTTTTGTGTCAACACATTTTATGGCCTTACCTCTTGTTTGTTTGTTGTTAAACGCCACACTCAGCAATATTCCTGCTATATGACCACGGTCTGTAAATAATTGGGGCTGAATCAGACAATCCAGTGATAGACATCATGAGCATCGATCCTCGCAATTGGGTATGTGATGACATGCATCCCGTTAGTCGTCTCTTACGAAAAGCTTAGTCGCCTTTTACAGCTAGCAGGGGTTGCTGAAGACCTATACTTCCCAGGATCTTCATGGGTCTGGGCTTACCTCTATATTTTTGGTATAGCCTTAACTCTTCATTTGGTATTTTTGGTGGTCAAACAAATGCCAATGTTGAAAAGAATTAAGTGTAAATTTTGTTGATATGAACACATCTAATAACTACACAGAAAGGTTTCATAATATCTCTGAAAGGTTTTCTCTTTTCTTGAATTAAGGTCAAAAAGTCGTCCTTATCATATCTTGTTTCATGTGGCTTGGGTGATTCTCAGGTTTCTTATGCTAAAAGTTACATGCATTGTAAAATCAATAACACAAGCCAAAAAACGTTTATTGGCATCTTAAATACAATGTTAGCAGCATATTTTTGTAGCATTCTATATTGATATCTACATTGTAGGTTGCATGCGATGAAATTGCATCACAATACTTGTTTTATTGGTTACTATGATGTCACAATCAAATGACATCACTAATGGCTTTCCTACTGAAGTTGTTAGCAGTACTTTTTACACACTGTCTTTTTAAGACACTGCTTATTTACTGTCTTCAAACTGAAAAAGTTGTTTTTCCACTTTTAGCAACTCGTGTTGATATATTTCATATCAAAAGACCTGAGGGTGAGATTCTGTATTTATTTCATTTGGAATTAACAACATTAGTCTGTGGTAATCTGGTCCTGATGCCTTGGTGACGGACCTGTTCTGATGAACTGACTGGCTCCTTTTTGACTTGACGTAGCCTGTTTTAATCTGTCACTGACTGACGGATATGACCAGTGTTTCTGCTGGTCTGTTTCTACTGGATCACACTGTGTCAGGCCATACTTTCAATAAGACTGCCCCAAACAGTGGTAAATAGTGCTAGACATTGGTTATCATGAATTTGAAGCTTAGTGTAAATATAAATATAGATACATGTAAAATGCTTTTTATCATACTTGGCAACACAAAGGCATTCACTGGTTCTAGCACAGCACCAACTGGCTGCCACAATATATGTACTTTGAAGCTGAATAAAACTCCAATGCATCACACACACTGGATAGTTTTTAATTCTGTGGGAAATTCTCTGGTCTGTGATATCATCTGTTGTCATATTTGTATGTGTTTAGGCAAAGCAAATTACTGAACAGGGCTCAATTTAGCACCAGTGCAACCTATTATTGAAAAATGCAACCTAATGTTAATGTCCACTTGTACCAAGTGCATGTAAAGAGTATGTCTGCCGACCATTACTTATCCACGCAATAAGGATCTTTGAACACACCAGATACTTCTAAGGTTTGTGTTCAATACTACATCACTAATATCAGTGAAATTTCTCATGCTGTCATGGACTTGACGTCATCAAACTTTGGGTACTACAACATTATGGGCATATGTTCCTATTATGTTTACAGGAATCTGTTATTAATGAATGTGACACAAGCAGCAGACCGGACTATGCTTCAACTTTGATAAATTAATGGGACCAGGGAGCAACCTGGTTGTGTCTGGAGTTTTCATGTCAACATGCACCTGGTGCAAGTTTAGTCAAGTTGCTTAATTGAGCCCTGCTGATGGAGTCCTCCGAAAGTTAGGTGCATCGTAAATATAGCCATTTTTGACATTTTACCATTGACTGCATTATTTTTTTTGTTTTTAAATCTGTATATCAGATATATATATTAGGAGACTAATTACATAAATAGAAGATTAGCAGCAAGGTATGTGTGATTGATCATATTGCCAGTGATCATTCTAAAACAGCGCCAATAACCCTTCAACTGTTTAGAATGTTTAAGAAAATATGCAGATAGGAACAGAAAAGGGATCTTTCTACCCTATTAGATAGTGTGTTCAATAGGCTGATTGTGAGACACCTATTACATCACATATATCAATCTCAGGTGCACTATATACATCCATGAATTCCTCATACATTCTAGAATCAAATGACAAATTGCTTCTGTCACTAATACAAATTGTCTAGATGAAATCAAGTAAAATAAATGATGTGTAAAACAAACGTGTTTTGGAAAACTTTACTGAAAGGAGAACTTAAATTTGTTTGGATAAACACACTAAATATAGGTGAGTTTGTGTTCCTCAAGTACTGTTGTTTTGTAAAGCATCTTATCCTTGTTAGAAGTACAGAACTTAGTTGAGAGTTCTTTTTATCATTCAGTGATTCCAAGTTGGAATATGACCCCAGGAACCAATGCTGGGCATAAGAGGCGACCATGTGGGTTGGTGGATTGGCTGATAGCGTGTCATTGTACACTGATGGCACGGAGCACTGTTCACCCTGTCAATCTCTGGATTGTCTGGTCCAGACCCAATTGTTTACTGGCTGTGTCGTCATACAAACATAGCATTAATCAAGAGCTTGCAGAATAAAAACAAGTCTGAATTCCGTGTGTAACCATGGTAACTTTTTTCAACCAAGTATATGGTTTCATTTTCATTCCCAACAGAGACACCAGGAATTGTCTGCTGTCTAACCTGGTACAATGGACTACAGCGGCGAAGAAGAACACTGCAGAAAGCATGTCACTGCTATGTGGTTCAGGCATGGTCTTCGTTTCCATGACAACCCCACATTGATCAAAGCTCTCAAGACAACCAAAACGTTTTATCCTATCTTTATATTTGATGGGAAAGTGGCTGGTAAGAACCTATCTGTGACATATACCGTATCTGTGGATTTGAAGGTCAAAGCCATACTAATGTCCTGGGTCTTTTTTAATTGCCTTTGGTTGGCTCTAATGTTGATTTTACTTTGAAACAAAGGCAGCCATAGCCAGTAAACATTTAAATACCCAATCACATAACCTTGAGCTCCCTGATTGTCTGGTCACTGTTGATTACTGCCACTTACATAATTTTTTTTTTTATGGTCATCATCAAATAACTGATTGGCTGCAAGTGATAATGTATCTTTTTGAATTTCCATTATGCAGATACCTTTTTCTCCCCTGATCACTAACCTCCAAATTTAGGGGGAGGGATAATGGTATCTAATCAGTTTAATGTTGTCCCTGACATTTTTATTAACATCTGTATATGATCCCAGCCTAGGCATCTTTAAATTACTGCAGGATAGGATATAAGGTAGCCACATTGCAAATAGGATTTCGGCCCACTCCTGAGACATTTCTGCAGGTCCATGTATCACTATGAATGGCATAGCAGTAGTTTGCTGTTTTTGTTGTATATTTTGATACGGGGCCTAACTTTGACCTTATATAACTTTGACCTTTATATTTTCTTATTTTTTACTCATCCTGCATTACTGCTTAATGCCTTGACTGCTTACGTTTGACAGGACACAAAGCTGCGGGGCTCCAGGTGAGAAAGAAGTTGTTTCACTGAAGTGTGAGGCAGGACCCAGTAGATGAGACCACGTGACCCGGATGTGATGACATCACATAAACTCCACCTTACTGCTTGTCACACCTCTAATAAATTGTGCAGTTTTTGGATTAAACTTAGTTTGTTTTTATTGCCATTTTTGCATAAATTTGTCCTTCACTGTGATAGGCCTCAGTATGTTATTTAAAGTCCAGGTTTGTTCGTGAAATGTGACTTTTGTCAACCTTTACATTCACGTATGTATTAATGTTTCAAGCCATCATCTTGAAATTTCTGACATGTCTGGTGTTTTCATGTTCAGTTAGGCATGGTATTGTTGCTTGCTAAATACATTTAGCCTATAAATACCTATTATAGTGTCTTACACTTTATCATTTTTATCATATTATCCTGGTTTATTCTGAATTGAACTTTGTGTTTATTTCCTTAATCTTGGTTAATCTTGGACCATTCTGACACTTTATGCTTACTCGTTGTATCCATTGTGGTAAAAATTCTTTAAAAGATCCTCACCCACATTGTCTTCATTGTACACAGATTTGATCAAATCATTTGAAGTGTGATTTTTGTGTTCCTCTCTCCCCTTCTACCTTTATCAGTAATCAGCAGATCTTACAGCAGTCGCTGCAGCATTCCAGGAGGATGTCCGACTCACAAGAATCTTTCCACGAGTCGGGTTTGGCTATAACCGGTTCTACAAGGACATCTGACATTCTCTTCCCTCCTGCACGTACCCTAGCATAACCAGACACTCTACGCTGACAGCACCCTTACAGATGGCTGCTGCTCATGTGCCTCAGGGCGCCTCCTTGAGACCTGTGCCTTCAAACACTTACAAACTCCTCAGTGATACCTGCGCCTCCGGGCTTCTCTGTGAGACCTGCGCTGACCATCCCTCAGGGCCACTTGTTTACAGCACCTTACAGTTTCCAGCCAGCGTCTCCCGTGTATCCACAGATGTCAGCACCAACCTGGATGCATAGTTTCAGCAGACCTTTGTGCCTCAACTATATTCGGCTTGCCAACCAGTCTGCGCATCAGGTGTCTTACGCACCCTCGGCGCTTCCAACAACTGCAGCATCCTTGGCTCCACCATTGCTTGCAGCACCCCAGGTGCTTCTGGTTTGTCAAGACTCTGCTACATGCCTGGCACCATCTAGATCTACAGCAGCACTCTCTATGGGCTTGGGTATGCTGTCATCCTCTAGGCTCCTGTCACCTCATGGGTCAGCCTCACCTGGCGCTTCCTCCAGGTGATCGTCTAAGTCATCACACTCTCAGCACCGATCCAGGAGTCGCCATTCAGATTCATCAGAGGAATCTGTGGTAGAAGATTAGGAGACATCCTCAGAGTGGGACACCCACCTCAGCCTGCCACAGATAGAAGATTGGATGGCTGAAAGCCTGACTGCGAGAGCGCCTTCCCCAGGTATGGATGTTGAGAGACACCATTCCACATTCCATCTGATCCTATGCTCAGGGATATGGTGAAGGCACTGGATGAAAGCTTTACTATTTTGACATTCTCTCCAGCGTTCACAACAACTAGATTTAAGAAGGGTGATTTTCCCATACATGCCTTCGAGTTAGCAGACTGTGCACATGTCCTGTGAAGGACCTTCACAGAATGTCTGTGTCGTCTAAGCCTATTACCATCAGGATCCCTGACACTCTGGTCACTTTCATCGTGACACAGACAGGTGCTCGTTGAAACCTTTGTTGGCTTTGGCCTCCTTAGCTTGGGCCGTTGAGCAGAACCTCACTCAGTCCAAACTCAATTGGGTGGAATATCTCCAGACGGCATGGCAGAGGATGCGGTAGAGGGAAATCACAAGGTGTCTATAAGCCCCACCATGGCCAGTCTTAAGGCAGGAACAGGGACTGGAGGGGTAGGCAATGAATGCTTGGTCCTTTATTTACCCACCTCACCAAGCCAGTATCAGCCTATCTCCACCTGAGGAACATCGGGTTTGAGTCAACATAGACGACAGTCTGCTGAACCATCCAGACCTGGCGACTTTGATCCTTCACAGGGATCAAACCAGGTGCCTATTTCATCAACTGTGATTTTGATCGCGCCTTAGTGGCCATGAGAGTGTTGTTCGTAGACCTTAGAAGTCTTGAAGGAAGTGATCTACTAGCTCTACCTGGGTGGCCAAACCTACTCATCCATCCTAACAGCAGGTTTCCTCACCAAACGCCAGGCAGGTTTCATCTGCACGCCTGGTTCGTCTTCAGAGAGCTCTAGGCACCAAAGGTTATTCAGCATGGGCAGTTGAGGCAATTGCTATGGCGCACAGACCTTCCACCCGAGACCTTCATGACAATAAGTGGCGATCCTTTGAAACCTTTAGTAAAGGAAAGGATCATTTCTTGGCTGAATGTCTCCTTTATCTTCAAACACAGTGACAACTGAAAGGCAGCACCATTACCAACTATTTGGTGGCTCTTAATTCGATGTTGGCATTTCCGCAAGATCAGAAAATGACCAAGATCCCGGAACTACAGGTGCTAATAATCTCATTCTGCCTTGAAGGCCAGAAGGCTAAGTTTCGCCTTCCTGCATGTGATTTGAATGTCGTACTTTGGTGTTTGCGTGCGCCGCCCTTTCAGCCTCTCCACGCTACATTGATATTCTTATTGGCACTGGTCACAGGGGCAAGAGTTAGTGAGCTTCATGCTCCTGGCATTACCCATGAACACTTTGAGCATGGTACCCATGGAGCTGTTCACCTCGGGCTGTTACTAGAACAGCCCAACTGGTCTTTTGCCATCCCACCTTTATCATGGATCAAGGGAGCCAAAGACGATTAGGAACTGTTATTGTGCCCTGTGCGCTCATCCATCGCTCTCAAGACTTTGCGAGGTGCTCAGAAACGCTTATTTATTCCTGTTTCCCAGAGCACCATGACCGAAGTCATCTTCCCGAGGCAAGAGAGTTCACTGACTTTAAAAGTCCAGTTCCCACCCTTGCCGAACTAGGCTGGAATTCCTGGGCTGGAATTCCTTGGCTCGATCGTAGCGCCACCAGTGGAGTTATGTCCCTTCTTAGCCTCTCTTATGGACCAATCAGATTCAACCTCTCGTATCACTTGCATTTGCTTCAAACAAAATGGTGGCGCCCAGTCAAGACGATCAAAACTCAAGATCTCTATAGCAGGTCTTACATCGCGAAGTGCATCAAATCATGTGAGCACCTTGATTAAAACCAAAAAAAAAGATTTGTAAAATATCTGTTGACAACGAGTTGGCGGTACATATGCTTTGCAAATCCAGCAATTGACCGAAATCTGCATGACAGTTTACGAACCAGATTTTTATTTCCTTGCGTGATTTTGATTGGACTATGCATAGACTCGTTAGTCCAGCCAAAATGTAACTCCATAATACCAATTTTTTAACTTATCCTGCATTACTCCGTATTGCATTTACTGCTGTCTTTGACAGAGAGACGAACTGTGTGAGATCCAGCTGCTGAAGAAAGTTGTCCCAACCAGCCCAGGAGGCAGCGCCCTCTCACAGTCGGCACGTGACCCGGAAGTCATGACGTCACACCAAAAGACATAACTGCTTTGTCACCTCCACGGACGGACGTACTTTGTATCCCTTGTGGAAATTAAAGCTTATTATTTTTTTTTTTTATATTTTGCGTGTTTCTACATTCATTATATGCTGCTACATTGTTACCTGTTATGGGCCGTGACCTTAGGGTCTTCCCATTCGTAAATTGTAACGTTTATCGCTCGTCTGTGGCTCACGTCACAGTAATTTACGGGCGCAATGTTGTTCCCGCCATTTTGTTTTCTTTCCCGCCATTTTGGCCATTCACCACGTGGCCACGTAATGTCGTGTTCTGCGTTTTGAATTCTCTCTTTGGCTTGGGTAATACATTACATTTATGTATGTTGTTTTGGTGTGCTTAAAGCCTTGCCTTTTCGCTACCTCTCAGCGTAATTGTTTCTTCTCATAAACTTCAATATAATACGAAGTTTTTGAGTTACATTATGTCTCCCATACTTTGTGATTAGCCACATGGTTATGTGTTTGCTTAAAGCTATGCTTTTTCGCTACCTTTTAGCATCATTGTTTGATCTCATAAACTTCATTGAAATACAAAGTTTCTGAATCACATTATGCTTCCCATACTTTGTGATTGGCCACATGGTTATGTGTTTGCTTAAAGCTATGCTTTTTCGCTACCTTTTAGCGTCATTGTTTGATCTCATAAACTTCATTGAAATACAAAGTTTCTGAATCACATTATGCTTCCCGCACTTTGTGGCTTTGCCACATAG